ACGGCGAAGCGAACAAGCGAAGATATAAATGTAATTTATATCATATAAAATATAAATATAAGTCATATAGGGACACCCTTAAGGTGCGAATAGACACAGCGTAAAATATTTTTGAGACGACGGGTTCCATCGTTCCATGTGAAATCCGGTTTATTAGTGCGCTCTGAAAGTTGCAGAGTTCTGTTTTAGTCTAACAACTACGTAACTATGTATCCAACTGTATTAACATTTATTTCCCATCAGGATACTTAAGTAGTTCTACTACATTCAGTATAAGATATTTATTTTGTTGATGAGTTTTAGATAAATGATCAACAAAAAAGTTTATAAAATATAGAATGTTTGGTAAATCAACATGTATTAATCTTTATTTTTCCACATTTTTTTATAACTTAGTTTTCGTTACATAATTTTAAAAGGAACTGTCACTATATGATAAAAAGTAAAAAAGATTTTTTATCTTTTTAGTGCAATTTTTTACAAGTTCCGAGTTCGCAGTCTTATAAAACTATCAAGTTAAAAAATCGATGATAACAATGATTAAATTAAAAATTGATAGGAGTCTTCATGCGCTCAACCAATCATTTACTGATTTCATTTCTGATTTTGATGTCAATCATTGGCTTGTCTATCTGATAAGCTTCAACTAAAGCCTAAAAACGTTTAAAAAAAGGAATATAATTTAATAGAAAGAAAAATAATTTTGCAGTTAAAATGTGCAATTAGTTCCACTTACTTTCCACTGTTTCATAGTTAAAGACATGACATTTTGAATGTTATTTGTATTTTTATTACTTTTTGCCACTGACGCTTCATCTTTGTTTGATTTCTGAATTTGAGGGATTCCATCTTCATCTGAAAATTATAGTTTTGCAACTTAAATACTAAGTACCCTCATACAACGGCTTGAACGTAATAATAAATGGAGATAAGTATTACCTGTAGAAAATTTAACAAGACCATCACGAACTAAAAAGGAAACATGCAATATATTTTCAACGGTTTTGCCGAAACTAGTTGGATGAAGAACTAGAGTGAAAAAGTCCAAAGGCTTCTTATAATTTTTTTGGTAATTTCGAATTATTAGAAATATTTCATGAACAATTTGTTCAACACTATCCTCAACTTTTTCCAATGCAATGACATTTTCTGGTCTTTTAGTTGGAGCTTGAGCTTCTCTGGTAACCTTCCGTCGGACTATATCTTTTTTTGGGATGGGCCTTAGAGTACCTAAAGCAAAACACAATGTATGCATAACGTTTTTTTTACAGATTCAATGAGATTATTTTAATTACCCAAGACTATAGACAATTTAGGCGTTCTGTTAAAGTACTTCATTACTGTTTTTCCTAAGAGAGACCAATCAGGTAGATCTGAGTCTGTAGACACAGAGTCGGGTAACCTGCACAAGTAACCTTTCTAAACCATAAAAAATGTGTCAAGTATTAAAATTAGTCTATGATCAGTAGTCCAATACATGACTTGAGTATCAATTTATGTACTTGCCATATTATCTGCAAATTCAACAGGATCATAACTACTTATATTTTTGGACAGCGAGTAGGTGCACTTTTTTAAAACATTTGATGAAATGGTCATAATTTCGGAGTCCAAAAGAACTTCTCCTTGATCTTTAACTACAAGCACGAGAAAAAATGTTCTTTGGCATAGTATTCTCAAGCCAGCAAGCATTGCTCTTTAAAAGTTTAGCTTACTTTTTTCCTCCAAACTTCCTTCTTGACTGATTGTGTCAACTTCATTGACAATCTCTTCCAAGTTTTCTAGGGTTCTGGTGTTGACGTTGGTTTCTATAAAAAAAATTACATTTTGATACACGATTAACTTGTAATCTGGTAAATACCAAAGGTAATGTTATTACAAGTATAGGTAAACCACTTACGAAGGGCTTGGGCATTGATATATTTATTCCTTAACACTTCCTTCCTCATTTGTGGCGATCGATATATACTTTCTTGTGTATTATGAGAGTTGTTGGACGCAAGAGACGAATGAGCCGCTTGGGAAGGCATTTTTGTAAACTATCAAACAAACAAACAAACAAGAATATCAATTACCACGTTAGCTGTCAGATTTTAAAAATTGTTTATATATTATATAGGTTGTAACGGAAACGGATACACACCATTACGATACGAAAATACTATAGGTGCGTTCAAAAAAAAATAGGGGATCAGGACCATAGCGGTCCGCGCCTAGCTCTGAGGAGAGCCTACCTACCCTACAAGCTTTTGAACGTTAGGGCCTTTTTGCACTCAAATACGATAAGGGCAAGGACAAGGAATAATTAAGTAATGGGAACGGAATAAAAAAATAACGGGACTAAGTGGAATAATGTATTGATGTACTTACTATGGTTTTTTGAAAACATCAGGCTGACAGCTCCGACTGATATTTTCAAAAAAGTATACTTCATAATACATCAAAACGTTATTCCTCTTATTCTGTATGGCTTTCCCGAGGTAATTATACATAAGAACTCCGTCATCGATTTCCCAGTGGAGTAGTACTCCGTATTCCGTAACTACTATGTATTATTTGTAACTAAATTGTAAAAATGGCCGAAATAGGTTTGTTGCTTCTACCGAAAAAGAGCTGTCATTTTGGCAAAAAAACGTTCTATACGAAAAAGATGCGGAATTTCAAAACAAACAAAATGAGCCCTGGTGGACCGAAATCGGCCTTGCCGTTTTTTAGCGAATTGCGAATAAGTACCAATTTCACTCTGTTTTTTGTTAGTTCGTAACTGCTGTTCTAATTAATATTTTGACATCAAATTTTAACAGAACATAGGTGTGGCCGAAATCGACAGTGCACCAAGAGCCTTGGGCCAAGCCAGCGCCACCGCTGGTACCTTACTTTACGAAAAAACATTTTTTTTCAATATATTTTTAGGATACTTACGAAAAAAGTTAGGGATACGAAAATTTAATCACTGTTAGATTAATATCTTATTTAGAGGAAACATTTTGAAAAATGGGTCGAACAACTTTTTTAGAGCCATTTTTCATAAGGAAATTTTTTTTGTTTATTTGATGGTTTGCAAAAAGTTTGCATCCGATTGTCTTGAAATTTTATAGGGTTTTAAAGAATCCCAAAACCCATGTTCTGTAAAAATTCTAAGTCAAAATTTTAATTAGAACGCCAGTCACGAACTACTGAAAAACAGGGCAAAATTGGTACTTTTTGGCAATTTGCGGAAAAACGGTAAAGCTAGTGTGGGTCCACCAAGGCCCATTTTTTCGTCTTGAAATAGCGCATTTTTTCATACCGAACGTTTTTTGTCCGAATTAAGTATAGCTTTTCCGGTAGAAACGAAAAACCTGTTTTGGCCATTTTTACCATTTTTTTGGACCTATTGCTGATTTTTTCTTTGGTCCGAAAGTGCTTACGTTTATACTGTCGGGCTCGAAATCTGTAAAAAGTAATTTTTTTTCATCAAATAGGGGTAGTTTTTATCTAGTTTTCTCTCACACTAAGATGCCAAACTACCGAACTCAAGTGTGACTCAAGGGGGGCATGAACAAACCCATAATCTCCCCGAGAATCAACTTGAACAAACCTACTGTGTGAGAATAAGCTGTTGAGAGAATTGTAAATTTGTGTGATAAATACCTACTCCGTGACAGATTGGCAAAAATGGCTGACAGCAGAAAGGACACGGCGACGATGTTCGACGACGATGAGCCCAAACACAACGTTGATCTCGACGACGATGACGACAGTGATGTCTTCACCTCGGCCCTCCAGGTGATTGTTTTCGCTCGTGCGGGTCTTTTACTTCTACTATCGCTCTGTTACACTTAAAATCACTGTCTACTCTGCAGGTTATCTACGTTCTCATCTCATTCCATTGGCAAAACATATTCCCTTTTATTCATTATATTTTTGTTAGTTTAGCGTCTTTTAATATCTGTACACTGTTCTTCTAACTTTACCCATCCATTTGCACACTAAGAACAAAGCATCTTTTGCACAAAAGATGTTTACTCCTCCACAAAATAATACATGTATCCGCCCCTTTTCAGTGGGTACTAGACAGATGCAATCTTTACATATGTAACTCTTTACAGCTTACTTATGGAACTAATGGAAGTTAAATTGTTAGGCTTATAAATTCGGTGTTTATATTGTTTGAAAAAACTTTACTCTATAAACATATGAAGAATATTGGTTGTACAATAGTATCAACGTAATTGAAAACATTAACTTTTGCTATTGAATTCGTAACGTTGGATTTGACTGTTTGATGAACTTGATTCACTTTTAGGATCATCACATGCAAGGGAATAATTCCTCATACAATGGCGAATCGACTATGCAAGCAGAACTACCCAAGTTATCGTTGCGAGATGCTATACAGGACAACTCTCTCTCGACTCTTTCAAGTCCTGCCGCACCATCTGGTCCACTTAGTCCACCCTTGGATCCAACAGGAACTGACATAGGTGATTTACATGATGTTCCCATTAATGACGATGGAGATATATCCACAAACATTCACAAATCTCAATCAATGGAAGAGGTACATATTCTTTTTCTCTTAAATTTATCCCACTTACAATGGATAGTATACAAGATGACATTTTTTAGGTGCCAACAGAATCTTCTGATTTATTTGTGGAAATAACTGTGACATCTCCTCAAAAAATGGGTGATGGCATGGGATCGTACGTTGCTTACAGAGTTGAGACAAAAACTAATATTCAGCTGTTTAAGAAGAGAAATTTCAGCGTAAACAGACGTTTTAGTGATTTTCTCGGTTTGCATGATAAACTCACGGAAAAATACTTACGCAGTGGTAGAATTATACCTCCAGCTCCTGAAAAAAGTGTCATAGGTGGGACTAAGTTTTTTTCAGGATTTATTCCAAAAAAAAAAAAAAATCCTTAAGTTGCATAATATTTACAGGCACAACAAAAGTGAAAATGTCGGGAGAAATGAGCCAAGAGCAAAATTCTGGTTCCTCAGAGTTCCTGGAAAGACGCAGAGCTGCATTAGAGCGATTTTTAAATAGGGTTGCCTGTCACCCTGTATTCTGTGTAGATCCCGATTTTCGAGAATTTCTTGAAGCAGGTCAGTTGATTAGGATGATTCTGTAGAAGCACTCACGTATAATTTTAATTGATTATTACAGATATGGAACTGCCTAAGGCAACTAATACTTCTGCCCTGAGTGGTGCTGGTGTTATGCGGTTGTTTAACAAAGTTGGAGAAACTGTGAATAAAATAACGTATAAGATGGACGAGAGTGACACGGTAACCAAGATAAATTGTACTGTATATTTTCTTTCAAAGGCAATTTTATGCATTTTATGTATTTGTTGGTCTAGTGGTTCGAAGAAACTGTTAACCACATTGACAGCCTTGACACTCAGCTGCGTGGCTTGCACGCAGCAGTAGAAACATTGACGAATCAAAGAAGAGAACTAGCTATGCATACAGGGGCTACAGCTCGATCGATCGCCGTCTTGGGACACGGTGAATCTGAAGCTTCTCTCGGCAGAGCCTTAGCACAGCTGGCGGAGACCTTCGAGAAGGTCGAAGTCGTTAGGAAGGCTCAGGGAAACAGCGATTTATATCAGTTCGGAGAAATGATTCGTGATTACGTGGCCCTCATTGGAGCCATCAAGGTAATTATTTCATTCAAAACGATTTAGCAACAATGTAAAACTTTTCTTCAGTTTTATCATCGATTTCGTGGCAACATTACTATAAGATTTTCTTATTATTCTATTTGATTTTCATAATCAACCTATTTAACAAGTGTGAAAATCAATGCGATAGGGTGGTCTAAAAGTCAAGGAATATTGTCAATTTCCAGGATGTTTTTCACGAGCGAGTCAAGGTCTTTCAAAACTGGCAGCACGCGCAGCAAGTGCTGAACAAAAAGCGCGAACAGAAGGCGCGACTCGAGCAGACGGGACGGACGGATAAGACGAGCCAGGCGGCGACCGAAGTTATCGAGTGGGAGGCAAAGGTTGAGCGGGGTCAAGAGGAGTTTGATAACATATCCAAGATGATCAGGACGGAGGTCGAACGTTTTGAGATCGTGCGGATACAAGACTTCAAGAAGCAGCTGGTTCAGTACCTCGAGGCTATGCTGCAGCATCAAAACCAACTGGTCAAGCACTGGGAAAGCTTCTTGCCGGAAGCCAAGTCCGTTGCGTGAGCTCAGACTGTCAGCAACGTGCCATGGATCTATTTTTCGCTCTGTGTGTGAGCTACATAGGGAACAGTATAGCACCAGACGTAATACTAGAGTGAAGCTTGTCTGGGCTTTGAGCTCGTCGTGCTTCTTCTCACCGCCAACATAATCATCATGTCAGAGGCATTTATTCAACTATCCAAATATTGTCTATAGTATCTAGCGTAAGTCTGGAACGATACTGAAATCTTAAGATTTTTCCACTTTATGGTCTTATCTCTTTCAAGAGGTCTGATTTTTTGTACTTTTTAATATTTATGCAATCTTGCAATGGCATTTTTTTACACTTGCATCGAATTTATATTCAATGCTGCAAATTATTCATCATAGAATTAGTTTCGAAAGTGCATTTGAGTAGCTAGTTTCTAGATCTTTTACCTCAATTCCGTTATTTCAATAAATAAAATAAATTATATCCCAACATACCAAAAAGATGTGTGTATTTAGCACATAGGTTTTTTCAGCTTTAGTTAAAAAACTATAAATGAAAAACTATTGGGTAAAAAAAATTGATAAATTTTTTTATATAAATCAAATGAGTATCACTACCAGGATGTATATAAATATCAAATATTTCAAATGTATCAAAATTAACTGAAAACGACTTTGAATACATACAAATGTTTTATACAACACCCACTAGCATTAAATAATCATTTTTTTTACTAAAACTTTTAGTACTTTCTATCATTCCAATCAATGTTTGATTGTCGTTTGTGATAAATATGTTGTCTGGGTACAAAGTTTCAAATGCTTTGGTATTGTTCCAGTGATGCTTTAACTCAAAACAATTCGAGCTTAAAAGCATTGTTATTGCTATTATTATTATTATTATTATTATTATTATTATTATTATTATTATTATTTTATTTACTATGATTACTGTTGATTGTGAATCAACGAATTTCCCAGTGATGTGTGCCATGCTGAGCACTACACCTACGTACCGTGACAAACGCTTAACTCTTATGTATCTTAGACGATTTTTTGACTATTAAAGAAATATGCTTGAATATGAAGAATTATGGCAATAATCGAGTTTACATTTATACTATGGTTATTATATTTTTATAATAATTATTATTAGTATTTTTGTTAATAATACTATTGCTATCTGCTATTATTCTTAGTAATAGCACACACACACACACACACATATATATATGTATAAATATTTTTATTATTGTATCATAAGAGAAACTAGATACTGTTATTAGACAATAAAGATGAAATTTGTCAAAACCAAGCTGAGGAAATATCAATTCCCACATCTTCATTTTCAAGAATAACGTGTTTTTTGTCAATTTGTACAAAAGCACGTCCAGAATTTACAAAAATAAACCAGTGTATGATGCAAGTTGGATCACTAAAGTAATGCAAGTTCATTTCCGTCATTGTAGATTGTCTTTCGAGTCGAAAAAAATAAAAAAATAAAAACGCATACCAAATGCACTATACTGTTACAAGCCAAAGAGAGACTGTGGATGCAAACGCTACAAAAAATCCCACGTCCCAAGTACTTAAATCCATGCACTTACGCGAGACAAATGACGAAACGCGAATCATTTGTTGTTATACACTCGCGAGTTTACGCGTTTGCCCCGAACATGCAAACAATCGCGCGTGTCATTTGCATTACCCTGCAGGAAAATGTACGTGTACGTATACTCACATTATGTACATCCAGTTTTATTTTTTCGCGTCGCCGGCAACGTGTCATTAACTCGCGTTACATGAGCGCCAGGTCTTATCCTCATCTCTGTTTTTTTGTCTGAGTATTTTTGCGCTTCGTAATGCTTATTAAGTAAAAACGAAATGGAAAATCTTGAATAACACTCGTCACATCGATGACAAGATTTTTTGTGTTTATCGAAACATTTGCGTGTTATTGTTGGTGGATGGCAAATAATTTTTGTTTATTTTGCAAAATAATTGGCCTTTATCGATTAAAATTGATTATTAATCTTCATCAATGCCGTAGATTCAGCGTCCCTGTTGCATCAAAATTATGTTGTTGAATTTTGTAGTCAATCAACGTACTTCGTGACAATTTGCGTCCAAGATTTCAGTGAATTTAAAAGAGAATAATTAATCGAAAATATTCATGAATACCAGCAAACGACCAAAAATGTTTTTCATCCAGTGAATCATATTAGAGAGCTAGATTTACTTAAATAAAATTCAAACACTTTTTCAGAAAAACAACAAATTAATAATATCGGCAAATGATCATTTTTAATTTTAGTTTAATTCTTCAACTTGCACGACCACTGTTATACCGATATTATTGAAAAGACGTTTTTCAATTTTTCCCCCATTACCTTTTTTTTATTTATTTCCGACTCAACACATTAGGAACATGCCATAACGTATGAAAAATAAACTGTATCGACCAGAAACAATCACATGACGTACACTAAATTACAAAATACTAGTTAGGGTTATTGATTTTATGGATCCTTATACCGAAAAAAAAAAAAAAAATACGACAGAAATTCCAGTAAAAATTACCGCACAATAAATCGGAGGCAAGCTGAAAAAAGGGGTAAAAATTATTGATTTAACAGTTAAAATTATGGTTAGAACAGTAAACCTCAAAAGGTTCGGTTAATAAATTTTACTTTACCGCATAGTAAAATCGTAATCTTTGCTCGAATTTCTCTATAATTTTAATTATTTTTTTCTCTCCGATCCCAAACATCACGTAAAATATTAATCTTTTGGTTTGAAATGGTGATTCGTGGCAGAGCTCGTGTATACACGGTACCATAATTCACTGTACCCTTGATTAATTTTTTCCGTGCAGTTTTAGGTACTTCAAAGATGTACTTACATCTTCACGTTCAAACTGTCCGATACACACTTTTCTTCCTTCGGCGTACATAAGTGACATTATAGCACTAAAAAACTATGAGGAGAAACTAAATAAGACGTACTTCGGATAATTGTCGCGACGCTGATGATTAATTCATGAGTACAAGAAGAGATCATACTCGTCGTATTGGATGCAATTTTACCGAACGGTTTTTGTAACAAACGCAGCACTGAAGTGCAGTATTTATCGAGCACTTCCGCAGCAGAGACGATCAAAGTGTCGGTGTGGTATACAGTAGGTAAAATGTAACTTATCTTATATTTCTTTAACAACGTTTTTAACCAAATAGATAAGATTTTTTTTTGTATCCATTCAACTCATCAACAAACAAGAGATCCTTACGTCACGTAACGTATAAACAAATTGATTAAAATTTTGAGCCATTACTCGTTATTTTTCAAATAACTTAACTTTCGATTCATTGCGGTATGATGGTTAAAAATATTTTACCACCTGTGGTTTACGTAATGAATTTTAGCTCCATTGTTGGAATCCTTATGAATTTCATCACGGTTTTCTTAATTTTAATTTTTGTGATTGTCTTATGGTAAAGTTTCCACAAATGTCCATATCGATACCGAATGAAGTAGTTTTTTTTCATCTGCAGATGTTCAGCTATTGATACATTACATGTGGCAACTATGCGTATAATGACACTGTTTTATTATGTTATGCCCAGATTTCGTTAAATAAGTGAAGAAGGTGATAGATACGAAAATGGTAAAATTTCCGAAACTCATGTAAGTAGTTACGTATTTTTATACCACGCGATAGTGCAACAACGGGGAGAGGGGGTCCACCGATTTGGATAATTCCCCGAATATTCCATAAAGCAAATATTAAATCCGAAGGACTTGAAAAGACGTATACTCATGTCAATATTATTACTACAGTGATTAAAAATAGTTCTGTACTATTATTTGAATCGCGCAGAAAAAGTTAGATCAATAACAATTTTTTTGCTACTTCATTTAGCATGAAAACATGATTTTATTTATTTACAACCAAGCTCATACAAGATACCTTGCAAGTGTTGGTGGCGAAACCATCTAAATGTTAATTCAAAAATACAGTTATAGTTCATCGTTCAAGTTCGTGTTGTGAGTTATAATGAGTTTAAAAAAATAGTTGAAGGGTGAAACAAACAGAAAATGTGAAAATACTGGTAAATTAAAAAAAAAAACTTCATCAAATATATCAAGTGGATACAGCAAGTAAAAGTAAAGTATACATGATAGTGCCAATATTTTATTTGAATTAAGGTAGTAGTTGAGCGCTCTACAGTGCATGCCATACTGCACTGTAGTATATGCATAGGTTATGAGGTCCGCAATATACAGCTGTCCTTTTTCTTCTCATGCAGCTGCACTAAAGCTATCAATTTTGCCAGGCTCGTATTAAAAAACTATGTCGCTGAGCCCTTTCAAAGTTTAACTACAGTTGCTTTATAATGTGAATTATATCATACTATTTTTTGGGAAACATTGTAAGAAGCGTTTTAGAGATATGAGCAATTTCGTTCACAAATCGACCCCCAATCTGGCACTTTCCTATACCTTCTGTGTTAAAAGTTCAACGTTAAAACTTTAATATCTTTGAAACCATACCGCCCGGCCTCTTCAAATTTTGGCTCATGATGAATAATTGCTATCTTAAGCCATATACAAAATTTCAGGAAAATCGTAAGAAAAGTGTTTCTGGTCGACTACTACCTTAAGTGTAGAATGACTCAAATATTTAGTGAAAATTCCAACATAAATGAATACGTTTAGCACATATGCTGGTGGTTTAAACACTAATCGGGGACGATTGTTGGTATTCTCGTTTGCAATTCGCATTAAATTGACTATTTCCCAAGCAGAGATTATCTTTGTGATTAACTAACAATAAGTAATGAAAACCAATCGTAGGAAATAATGAAGTCCAGATTTGAGACCCAGAGTAAAATATAGTTACTGTCATTATCACAACCGGAAATAATTTTATTCAATTAATAATTGGTAATAACTATTTTAAGGAATAAGTTAAAAATACAAAGAAAATAATAAAGCGTGGATTTAAGACAACTGATAAAACTTATGACCCATAATTATCTGTCACAAGTTATTATTAAACTTGTTTAATACTTATTATTGATCTAAATAATTTACTGTCATTTTTTTAAATGGAAAGACATAATTTTTTTTTTTAAATTCTATTTCTACAAAAAAATTTACGATAGTAATTTTCAGAAGGATAAATGTTGTTATAGTCTCAAGTCTGGAATTTGATATTTGTTATTATAAGTTTTTATTTACTACCGTTTTTATAAATCCTCTCTTAAAAGATTGATTGTCACGTGACTGAAGCCTTTTTATTCGTTCTGTAATTGGAGGAGACTAACGAAGAGAGCGTGAATTCGAAAATAAGTTTTAAAAGCCAATATTTGAAATAATTACAATTTTGTAACGTAAAATAAGTAAATAATTGATATTATTGAATTTAAATAGATCAAATTGTTTACTGGGAAAAGTAATTTTAAATATCCATTTTGTTAAATCGAAGTAATAAGTGAAATAAAAAATTAGTCTAAGTTGTTACAATTATTTGGAGATAGATACTATTTGATTTGTTTGTACTCTTAAATTCAATTGTCATATTAAGAGTTAGTGTATTACTTTACAAAGCTAAGATCTTGAAGTATTTGTTATGGTATCTTGAATGAAAATTGTTGATACAGTAATTAGTTTGAAGAATGGATCCAAATAATACAATGACAAAGCAAGAAAATTAATTTTTCTTACTTTTGACATTATAGAAAATACAGGAAAGGTATTTTGTTCGGTTGTATATTAAAATTGAATAACAAAATAGAAAAATATTCGTCAATGTAAATCAACTCGAATAAGAAAATAATTAAAGCATGCAAAGAGCGTCTAACATAACTGGTAATAAAAAACAAGATCATTCTTGCGTGGATAAATATATTTTTTTAATTCTTGGTAATTTACAAATAAAATTAACAATTTAAAATTGATTTCAAACATTATTAATTTACATATCATCTATCGCTGAAGAATATGAGTATTGTTACTAATCATTAATTATTCACTAATTTAATTTTTACTTGGGCGTATAAGTTTTATTGTGTTAGTTTCTTACTTAATTATGTCAAGTAAATAAATAATTAAGCTATAACTTTCAGTGAAGACATGCTTAGTTGCCATTAGGGCACATATGTCATATTTAGAGTTCATTTTTCATTTATGATATTGTTCTGTTTGTATTCGTCAATAGGCTCAGCGTTGGCCGCGGTGGTCCAAAGTTTGATGCCAACAACCGCAAGTACCGCAACCTTCAGAGCGCTTCCGTATCAGCGTCACCGCCGGCCAAGCTATGAACTATCGCTGTAAACTATATACATGCATAATATGTGTATATCAGCGATGGTTCACAGCTTGGCCGGTGGTGGCGCTGATAAAGAAGCGCTCTGAAGGTATAGAAGGTCGCGGTCGGCATCAAACTTTTGACCATCGCGGCCAACGCTGAATGAGCTTGTTTCTAGCATCAGGTAGCGCTAGTATGCCCAGGTAAGATTTCCATAGGAGTATACCTATATATTGAATGAAATCCATGGAACACGCCCATTTATTTTAAAATTTAAAGGGGTAGTGTACTGTAACTTTATGAAGGATTTCTCTTAGGATTATTTGGTTCTGTTCATACTCATTTTATAAAAAAAACCACTTTGAGGTGGAAAATTCATCATCACTATCAAATTAAACTTCTCTTGAATTTAAAATATGGTTTACATTTAATCTTTTTACGTTATAGAAAATTTTTTTAAAGTAATGTATCAGTAATAGTTTTTTTAGATATTTCACAGATAAGAGTCAGCTTTAAAAACATGCGTAACAAATCAAACTTTTTTTATGAAAAATACTGCACAAATCTGCAAAATTCCTTACTTCATTTTAGTCCTTTCAAATTATGGTATAACGGTACGAAATAAAAGTCAGTTTATCGATTAATATTTTTTTTATTACAAAAGCATACAGCTATAACCTATAAGACTGTCATAATACGGTAAATGACGCACTTAACTCGCTTGATTAATTTAGTTCACGGATTTCCTACCTTAGCTATGTGGTTTTTGCAGTCAAGCAGGAATAGCGTACTATTACACACACACATGGTAAAGGTGTATTTTTTTTATAACACAGGGAGTACGGAACGTCGTGGATCTAGTCAGTACCACCGGGGGGGGGGGGGAGGCGCTATAAGATTATATGTTAAAGTGACATTCTGCGCTGTTCTCCTCTCTAACATTATTTATGTCCTTGTGAAAAAAAGAGGCATTTTTGCATTTGCAGGCAAAAATCATAATTTTGTTTATTGGACTGTCGTTAATATATAGGCTATTAACTTTCATTGAATACTAAGTATGAAATTTATTTATAATCTTGAATTCTAATGTTTCATCTTTCACTGATTGAGTCTATCTCATTTTTTCCTTTTTTTTAAACTACTACAATTTACATGTAAATTTTATTTTCATTATTTCTGTCATGTATTGATAAAGCATGTTCTTCAATTCATTCTCAGTTTATATTGAAATCTATAACATAGGTTTTCTATAATACATATGCAAAAGTTCTTTATCATCTTTGTTCTTAAATTTTTTTCTTTGATTTTTGAAGTTTTGAAACTCTTAACTTTTCTCATTGTATTTGAACTGATATTTTCTCTTTTTTCCTTCACTTGCTATTATTTATTTAATTTTAGTTTTTGTTGTCATTGACAAAGCTCTGATTTCTAAAATTTTAGCTTGAATTTTAATACTTTGATTAAAGATATTGGTAATCTATTACGAAAAACATACTACTGTATAATTATGTAAAAGAGCTATTAACACAACTTCAAATATCTTTTTATGAGAAATAAATAATAATGTTCTGTTCCATGTTACAAAAGAAATCAAATCATGTAAATCAATCGATACTGCCATTAATACTGACAATGCAGTTCGCTTTTTTTTGTATTTTTGAGATTTCTAAAGTAAAAAATAATAGATTTGTAACTTGATCAACAGAGACAGTTATCATGACACTATAAAAAAGCACATTTAAAACGATTTCGAAATTTTGAATATTTTATACTTTTCTTCTGATTTTCTCCCAAGTTAGGTCGTTGACCCTTTATTTTTTTAAATTTTAATAGATTCTTTGTAAAAAAATACACAAGAACTATTTTTAATTTTTGCGGTTAATCAAAGATATAGTCGATTTTGTGACTAATGTCCATAAGAATAGGTGTTAATTAAATGGATGAATTTTCAATAGCGATTTGCGAAAAAATTAAGTTGTTGACCCCAGTGTTTTCTTATCGCAAATGAATTTGGCATACTTTATTTACATGATTCTAGAATTTCAGAGGTTTTGATCAAGCCGATAAAAATCGCCTAAGCCACCTCAAGTATTAAAGTGTATGACAAAAAAGGCTAAATGAAACTAAAAAACATTGGGCATACGGACAAAAATATTTATCTTTCACTATTTAAACATTCGAGTATTTGATCCTCGAGTAAATGGTAGCGCAGTTGACGAGGCTTCGTACGTTAGGCATGTTGATGAGAATGGTTCACAAGCACATATAATAAAATGAAAAAAATTGAGTGTAGACAAGCATATTAATAAAACCAATACGTTATGATTTTGAAATAAAACGTAAAAATTTTAATTTTTACAGTCCGAAACATGGAGTCAATAAAGAGAGTTCCAATTAAAGAAGAATTTAAGAAAAATCCAGAATTAAAGGAGGAAGATCTGCAACACTTAAAGGAATGGTACCAAAAACAGCCTCATTTTCCGAAGTACATCGATGAAAATGACCTGATTTTGTTTCTTCATAGTAATTATTATCGTCTGGAGCCAACAAAAACCACTATAGAGAATTATCTAACAACTAGGACGCACACCCCAGAATTTTTTTCAAATAGAGATCCTTTGGGTTCAAAAGAATTACGAAAAATAATGAGTACAGTGTAAGTTTTTCAAAAATCAGATAGTTCATATAGTAGACTTTTTTTTACCAAAGTTTTGGAATACGTTAAAGTACAAATTATGAATTGTTATTCATGATTAATATTGAAAATCTCATCATATTGAAAACTATTTGTTATCAATAAAATACTCAGTGAAATGGCTGGCAAATTAATTAAAATACATTTATTTCGGGTTCTTTGTCAGCTTCCCGACAAAGTCGGTCGAAATTGCGCCCCCACTGGGCACTTTGAGAACGATTGGTCGTGATTAGAAAAGGACAGTACTATGAATTGATTTCCATATGCTATTGTAGAGAAGCGACATTTAAGGGTTGGCCACCTGATGAATGGAGCTGGAAGCTCGATTTCATAATAATTACCTTTTTAATCACGAATCACGAATCACGACTCACGACTCACGACCAATCGTTCTCAAAGTGCCCAGAGGGAGCGCGATTTCGAAATTGCGCTCAAAGCGAATAACGGTCAAGAACTTACTGCAATTTAAGTAACATAGGTTCCACCATACAGCAGCATGTTCTAGAATTTGTTAGATTGTATATCATTGTTCAAATTTCTCTGCACTTTTTCAGGGCGATATTGCCGTTAGAGAAACGAACACCAGAAGGTTATGGGGTTATGTACAGCCGCCTAATTAATCTCGAACCCGATCGCTTCGTGTTCAACGAAGGTTTGCGTTTGTATGCCATGATCTGTGAGTTGTGGTTGTACCAGGAGGGTACTATTCCGGGCCACGTGTTCGTCATCGACGTCCAAGGGGTGCAAATGACTCACGCGCTTCGAATAACACCGCTAGCTTTGAAAAAATGGCTTTATTACATTCAAGAGGCAATACCACTTAGACTCAAGGCCATGCACTTTCTCAACACGACACCGGTCATGGATTTCATACTGGGACTCATGAAACCCTTTTTGAAAAAGGAACTTATGGAAGTGGTGTGTTGAACCGTATTACGTATTCCGTTATTTTATTATTTTTAACACGATAGTTACTAATTTTTCGGTACTGATCTCAAACGAGATTATATTATTGATGCCCTGGACGAGTAATATTTGAAATTTGACATCTAACAATAAATTTTAACACTCTGGACTTTCGACTTAATGCCTAATTTTTTCTAGATTGTTTACAAAAATATATGGTTTATTAAAAAATATCTAAATAGAGTATTTTACATACTTTGGAGTTTTATGTTTTGTGTCCCAAATTTTTGAAATAGTGCATTTCATACTAGAGAACTAAGAAATAAAGTTTTCTATCCGATGATTTCACGGTTAATACTTTTTGTATATGTGTAAGCTCACCCATACGGCTTGTACAGACATATTGCTTATAAAAACACATCCTTACATCGTAGAAAAAAAAAAAAAAAAAAAATTTCTCCTGTTTTTACTTAAGATTTAACATTAATGATGACTGCAATTAACTATGTCCATACATTTCAGTTGTATTTACACCAAAACACTGAAAGTTTATCGAAGCACGTACCCATTGATATGCTGCCGAATGAGACGGGCGGTAAGGCCGGATTAATAAAGAATCTCTACGCTAAGGTTCTCAAGGATGTTGAAGATCATCGGGAGTATTTTATTGAAGAGGAGTCGGTGATGCGTGTCGATGAGTCAAAGCGTCCTGGCAAGCCAAAGTCTGCCAGTGATGTATTCGGTGTTGAAGGAAGCTTTAAAAAGCTCGATATTGATTGAAATGGAACCGTCTGCACTTTCAGTCGATAAATTATGCCAGATTATCTTTTACTGCTGTTTTATTGCACTTATAATTTACATATTACTCTATTATGAGAGTTTAACGTACCGTATGTGATAAAAATAAGTTAGTTTTTCTGGCGTTACGGCCATAGATTGAAACATAATATAACATATTGAATAAATATTTTTTTGGAAAATGCTTTTCTGTATTTTTTTCCGTAATCACCCGCCTTTTCCCAAGTTAACGAGTCCTTCGTGCGGCCCCCTTGCAAAGTTCCCCTCCTGTAGACGACTCAATCATCCGTCCTATTGGGTACTATTTACAGGGTGCAGCGATTGTCTCAAGCACACCCTAGCTATTATCAAGTTTAATGGAAAGATATTTTCCAATAAACTATCTAACTTGCTGTACCGACCTTTTTTAAAACCGGTGGGTGACTTTACCCGATGAGCTAGCCAGGTATGGGCTTTCCTTCGCAAAGGAAGCCCCTGGAGGTCCAGACATCACCAGGAAAACCAACTGTTTGTTTTAAAATTCGGATAAGTGGTGTTTCGGCATCCTGAATACTCATCGGAAAGACCGAGAATAAATCTCAATAGTTTTTGACGGGATTCGAACCCACGACCTCTTGCGTATCTCTGGCTTGGAGGCTAACCACTAAGCCATCGAAGTTCCGATAAAGTCAAAAATATTAATCTGGTCCAAAGTTAAGGGGGTTTAATGGTAGTTTTCCTACGAGTTTGAAAAGTCTTTGTTTGCGAACCGAGAGGTTTGCGGCCCGAGCCGAAGGCGAGGTCCGTAACGAGGTTCGTAAAGGAGACTTTTCGAACGAGTTCCGGAAAACTGCTTTTTCGCCCGAGGAAGTACCAGCCTCCCAAAACCACCCGAGGGCGGAAATAGTAGTTTTCCTACGAGTTTGAAAAGTCTCTGTTTGCGAACCGAGAGGTTTGCGGCCCGAGCCGAAGGCGAGGTCCGTAACGAGGTTCGTAAAGGAGACTTTTCGAACGAGTATCGGAAAACTGCTTTTTCCGCCCTCGGGTGGTTTTGGGAGGCTGGTACTTCCTCGGGCGAAAAAGCAGTTTTCCGGAACTCGTTCGAAAAGTCTCCTTTACGAACCTCGTTACGTCCCTCGCCTTCGGCTCGGGCCGCAAACCTCTCGGTTCGCAAACAAAGACTTTTCAAACTCGTAGGAAAACTACTATTTCCGCCCTCGGGTGGTTTTGGGAGGCTGGTACTTCCTCGGGCGAAAAAGCAGTTTTCCAGAACTCGTTCGAAAAGTCTCCTTTACGAACCTCGTTACGTCCCTCGCCTTCAGCTCGGGCCGCAAACCTCTCGGTTCGCACATAGAGACTTTTCAAACTCGTAGGAAAACTACTATTTTTGCCCGAGGAAGTACCAGCCTCCCAAAACCACCCGAGTGCGGAAAAAGTAATTTTTTTTCAGAAATCGATCAAAATTTTTTTCTCTAATCAGAAGCCGGAACTTTAATTGATCGCCTGCATTTTTCGACGGAGTCAACATTTTGAATTTAATCAAAGCTTAACCGAAAGCTTGTTTGTTTGAAGCACTTTAAAAACTTTTTTTACAGAATTTTGATAGCTTCTAAAGAAAAAAAGTTATAATCGAAAAAGTTTACCTTTTTTATTGCATTGATCAAATTTTTTTGTACTTTTGGGCAATTTTCCCGAAAAAAGCTTTAAAAAAGTTAGTCCCTCTTGACTTTTTGCATGTTCACGAATTTTCTCGTGTTACTGGATGGATGAGCAAGAAAAAACACCACACACTGTAGGGCTACCTTGAATTATACGTTTTTTAAAAACTGGGGATTCTTAAGTGTACATTAAACATGGAACTGCTCATAATATATACACATAGCTTAAGTATAGATGTATAATTTTAACAATGTTGGGTCGATATTTAACGTCAATATAATTATATAGAGCAAAAGGTGGATATTTTTACAAACCTAATTTAAACCACCCGTGTCTCACTTCTTAAGGTAGAAAATCCATCGCCACTGACACATCAAATTTTTTTTGAATTTAAAATATGTTATACATAAAACTTTTTTTATGTAATAGAAAGTTTGTAAAGGTAATGTATCAGTACTAGTTCTTTTAGATATTTGAGTTTAAAATACGTTTTTTAACATGAGCTGTAATATACCTATACTGTGATATACCTAGCAATGACAGCTTTAAAGACATACGTAACAAATCAAACTAATTTTATGCAAAATACTCTACAAGTCAGCGAAATTTTCACTTTATTTTAGTCCTTTCAAATTATGGTGTTTTTGCACGAAAAAAAAATCTATGAATCATTTTTGAGCTGTCGAAGCAAAGCTGTCTAGAGTAGAGTCGTTTACGTAAATTAGATTTTTAATTTTTTACTATAAAATTTTTTTTCAGAAATTCATCCAAAAAAACTTAATTAATGGTAGCATGGTCTTGTTTCTTTTTTTTTTTAATATTTAATTAGATTTATTATTACGCTGCATTTGATAAACATACCTACTTTAAATATTGTGATGTTAAAGTATATAAAAAAAAACCATAAATTATAGAAAATTTTTTAAAACACTTTGCTTCATAAAAATTTAACGTAATAGATGAGAAGAAAATAAAATCAGAAAAACAATCAAAATTCTAAAAAAAATGAGTAATCTTTTGTGATACCTCAAGAGCGTAGGTAGCGATTGGCGACAATAATTTGTAGGTTTAGCATCCGTTTTTCGCTCACGTAATGGTTTCAGTTTTAGTCCATCCTTCGTGGCAAAGTAATCGTATAGCTCCCAAGAGCAGTACTTATCAGACACTTCTAGTACGAGAACTTACGTTCATCGCCTTGACGACTATTTTTGTAAGTATTTTTTTTTTCTTTGAGTCAATAATGAATTCTTATTTTACACTTTTTCAAAAAATTTAGTTTTGAATGCATGTCACAACCGCTAGATTTTCTGATAGAACAATATTCTAATATGCAGAACACTGAATCTTAAATCACACAATCATAGGTAATATAAAACCAACACTACTATTAGCTGATGATAGCTAACGTTTAACGCTTTTGAATATCTCATACACTATCATTATTCGCTGACAAAAGGTATATTTCTGAAGATCCATGAACATACACACAAAATATCGATCTCTAACTGTAACAAAAATTTGGTTTTTCTGTTTAAAAGTACCTTTCGTCGATAAAAGCATGAAGATCATACCGTAGACTTAACTGCGCAAATAATGAAAAATCTTATTTTACATTACATGCATTATAATATTGTAAATCTGATTGATGTTATAAAAATTCCCGACCATGCTAAAATGTCACATGATCAGCAGTCGAACGATCCATCCAAGAAATACTTAATTGAGTTCGCACAAAATAAAATTAATACTATTGCCAACAATAACAAGTTTAAGGTAGAATGTGTTTCCAGTTATATTCCTATTGATGAAAGAATTTTTTTTAAATGTTAACGTGCTATCATGTCGTTCGATCTTTTTTACTTCCAAAAAAAAAAAAAATCTCCCTAACAAACAAAAATGGGAATTGACAGTAGACTGGCCGCATCGTGTTGCATAGAGTGCCATTTTTTTTTTTTCACTTTAAAACAGAAATTTTATTCGTGATTAGGCAACGCAAAAAAAAAAAAATACTACTAACAATATTTTATAAAGTCCAGATTTGAGACTACATTAAAGTTTAATGAGTATTATTATNTATCTAATTGAGTCATGAGCATGCGTGTTTCAGAGTCAATATCCTTTTTTTTATTCTAGTTGTACCTTGTGTCACAGGTCTAAAGGAATTGGGTAGAAGTAGTGAGCTTCAAGGGAGTGAGGAGATACCGATGGGACTGCTGATAATAAGTTGCCTTATCCCATAAGATTTACAGACTTGCGTCCACCATTTATGCCCTACTGGATATATATACAGGTCTAATGGCTTTTTCCGCTAATTCCCTCAAAGCTAACTAGGTAGAGGTAGTTATAAATTACTGTACTTAAGTATATTTAAACATATGTTTTTTACTGGGTTACCGCGACAACCTATTTCGGCTAGTCGCCGGGGTCACCCACTCACCACCTATGTGTGGGGGTGTATTGCTATACCCATTTCCAACCCTTTTACTGATATACCTGAATCCATGGGCACAGTGTGAGTATCTTCGGTGGAACACCTTGCCAGTTAAGCTGACACAAAATAAAATAAAAAAACATTACATTATGTGAAATATATTTTTATATCAATATAAATTGATCTATTTCTTAATATATACTATAGTTTTACAAGTATTAGCATAATTTTTCTTCAATGTACACAATCCTTACGAAACAATCAATAATGTTCTGATACCATTGGCCGTTACATCGATAATTTCATGGATATACTAAGCTTTTGATTTCTGCTAACTTTTTTAATTCTCTTATGTTCAAGTAACTTAAAATATTCCAAATGATCTCATCCGGGAGACTTTTGAAACTCATTGGTTCCAGTATAGCTTGAAAAATTTTGTCCAAATGATTTTCTACAGCATTTATACGTCTCTTTTCAACTGCTAGATCGATATGGGATTTGATTGCGTATTCATAATATTCAAGTTCTTCTTTATCTTTAAGGGACAAGCTTAAATTTAGACAGGCATCAAGGTAATTTCTGTTCTTTAATAATTTAACAAGCGAATCTAGTTACATTGTCGTTATATCGTAGACGCTTATGTTATGGCATATTTTGACTTCTTTTAATACTTCCAGTTGATTGTTACAAGCAGACAAGACTATTGACAACTGATCAACACAAAAAAAAAAATCCTTTTACTGAAATCAATTCTGCATGTAATTTGTTTAAACGTAAATCGATGGTGTAGAAAAAAGTTAACAGATAGGTTAGCGTGTTGGTAACTGAGTCTTCAATGATTACCATGTAGTGGACGATTGTAATTTCATGTATTATTTGGCTGATTTTGAATTCCCATAATAAGCATAACACCCTTAAACCGTCGTCCTCCGTATCCATAAAACTGTCCTCATCATATTCATAATATTTTGTAAAGTAGCTGTCAATAAAAGTCATGATTATTAAAAAAAAATCTCTAATGGAAAGTTGCAAATTAAGTTGATAAAGTGTCGAACTTATTGATATGGAAACCAGCTTCCAGCAGCATTTTTACAATACTGTAGCGCGGACTCCAATTCACAGCTATGCTTAGTGCATGGTTAACATCAGTGCAACAACAATTTTTACTAGACAGAATATGGTAATCTATGTCGAGAAAAAGATCCACTAAAGTCTCATCAGAAACTGAGATAGCAACAATGAGCTCATTTAATTTCAAGTAATTTTTATTATGAGGATGATTTAAGTAAGGCAAATTTATCTCATCAATAAAGTCATAAGGCTGTGTCTCATTAGATCTAGTGATTTTGACCAGCATTAGAGATATTATGGCTGTATCCAATGTATTCTTTACGGCCAAATAAAACGGCGTTTCATCAAGAAAATTTTGGAGGCAAACGTTTGCTCCTATCAAAAAATTGATACTTCATTTATATTACAGTATTATACTTACAAGTGTTACACAATCTAAAACTAGCTTTATAAAATTTAAATATAACAACTAAAACCTTAAGAACTGTATTTCTTTAGAAGTATTGAAGTAAAAGCTTCATAAACAAAAAGAATTTTGAAAAATGATATAGTTTTGTGAAAGATTACTCCAAAATTACTTCTAAAATTAACGAAATTTAATTGACTTAGTTATTATTTACATTTAACATTTTAACTCACCATTCTCAATGAGAAGTCTGGCAATTTTATCATACTTCCACCTTGTACCAACTTCCAGTGAATACTCTTGACATACTAAATGCAACGGGGTGTCACCAAATTTATTTATGGCGTTAACATTTGCTCCTTTCTTAAGTAAAAATCGGATCGTCTCCAGATTCTGGCTTCCGATAGCTTGATGCAAATATGAGTCATTTGTGCTATCATCAAAAGTACTTCCCTGCTTGCGCAGCAAGTCAATAAGATTGGACCAGTTTTGGGAAAAAGTTATTAAAGAGAAAATGAATGGCGACAAGACGAGAAAAATAATAAATATGTATATTAAAAAGGACGTATTTGCTATGCCGAAATATTTATGCCTACATATTTTTTTATACAAATGATGTCGAAAAATTGAATTTCTTAAAAAATTCGTACTAAATTTCATCAATCGAGGAAGTATGTTAAGAAATAAAAATTTTGCATTTTATTAAGATGTATAAAAATATTATGATTAATTCATAAAACAATTACTAGCAAAAGTAGTTATATTGTCGAGTTCTTGATTATTTATGACAAATACATTTTTTTTTTTTTAATTTATTTTAAAAAATTTTTTATATTTAAGCAGTGCTACTTTTTACTGATTAAAACACTACTTCAATTTGGAATTTAAAACTCATGCAAAACTTGTATTTTTTAACATATTTCTTCGTATAATGAAATTTGGCTATAATTTTTGTACAAATTAAATTTTCCGCCATGATTTGTAAGAAAAAAATTATTCTTACAAGTTTTACTTGCAAAAACCATATCAAATGCTTAACCAACTACTCGAAATTTTCTACAAATACCTTATTAGCGTATTTCACCATTGGTAATAATACGCAGTATTCGAGGAATGCCGAAAATAAAAAAAAATAAAAAAATAGGAAAATTGGTGGTTTTAAATTTTATTTTGCAAAAATATGGTAACAACCGGAGTATTAGCAAAATGTAAACTGCACCATTGAAAAGAGTGACCTTGAAAATTGTGGGAAAGATGTTTTGCTTATTTTTTGTAGGGGTATTTTCACGTTAATTAGTCCGATAAATGAAAATACGTCTATTGTTTTAACGAAAAGTGATATTATTTAACATTTAATGCTGAAAAAAATTGCAAAGACCTGAATTGTGTGTTCTTGGAATTTTTTCCACGATTTAGGTTACTACAAATAGAAAAAAAAAAAATTAGAGTTATAGCTTGAAATTTAAATTTGGCACTTCTGGGTACCCTGAAAAGTGAGAAATGGAAGGAGAATTTCTCATATACATAAACTTGTATACAAAATTCTCCCCTGTTTGTGCATTAATTTATGTATGAATTTTCCTCGAAACACAATTTATTTATTTAATTTTCTTGATAAGTGTTGTTTGTAAAAACTTTAAATATTATTCACAAGGAGAATATCTAATTGAGTCATGAGCATGCGTGTTTCAGAGTCAATATCCTTTTTTTTATTCTAGTTGTACCTTGTGTCACAGGTCTAAAGGAATTGGGTAGAAGTAGTGAGCTTCAAGGGAGTGAGGAGATACCGATGGGACTGCTGATAATAAGTTGCCTTATCCCATAAGATTTACAGACTTGCGTCCACCATTTATGCCCTACTGGATATATATACAGGTCTAATGGCTTTTTCCGCTAATTCCCTCAAAGCTAACTAGGTAGAGGTAGTTATAAATTACTGTACTTAAGTATATTTAAACATATGTTTTTTACTGGGTTACCGCGACAACCTATTTCGGCTAGTCGCCGGGGTCACCCACTCACCACCTATGTGTGGGGGTGTATTGCTATACCCATTTCCAACCCTTTTACTGATATACCTGAATCCATGGGCACAGTGTGAGTATCTTCGGTGGAACACCTTGCCAGTTAAGCTGACACTCTCTGCACGAATGGTGCATCGGGTCCACTTGCCACTGTGTAGCCTTTCCCCGAAGAGGACTCTATATCCCAGGACGTCCACTCCTCACCGGTTAAGCCGGTGCTCTCTGCCGAAGCATCGGATCCAGGCTAATTAGCATCCCTGGAGAAGTCCCATGTTTCAGGGACCACTCCTCGTCGGTAAGGCCGGCGATCCCTGCCCGACGCCTGGCATCGGATCCACTAATCCCTACCTATAGCCCTAACACTGTTTCGCATTCACCCAGGCCCGAAGACCTGTGGGGCAAGGAAAAAATCCTGGAATCACTCAATGGAAAAATTCCACGGAAAAACCCGTCCCGAAAATAGCCGGGGTTGAAAATTTTGCGGCAACCTGTCTCATACCCAAATACGTATTGCCTGAGTCAATCAAAGTGTTTTCTTATCGTTGGCGTGCTCGGGCGTCTGGCACGCTCTTCGTCGTTCACATCTTCTTGTCTCCCTGATAGTATTTTGTACCACAGATAAATGTTGTTTTTATTCAAGGTAGCTTCATCCATTGATTGTAATAGATAAATTCGTAGACCAGCCAAAACAAATCCAAGCAAAACAGCTGTCAAAAATAAACTAAAATTTTTTTCACCATACCCCAACTAAAAGACGACGTTTCTCCCCTGATTTCTGGGACAATTCGCTGGGTGCAGGCGGTTGGAGAGGATAGGCAAAACGATCTAACTGCCCATGGTGAGCATTTAGTGCAACTCGGGTGCCGTTTTACCACAATCTGCGTGTTTGACACCCTTGCCTACGGCTTGGGAACAATTTTCACGCAGATGACGCTAAAATACTTTTCTAGTAGGTAGAGAATGCAAGTTTTACCTGGGAAGTTATGTTATGTCCCCTCCCCCCTCTGAAATCGTGGAGAAACGTCATATATCAACGGCGGAAGGTGAAAAATCGTATGCGTTACACGGGGGACAGTACGGCATCGACTTTTGGATGCTTACCTGGGAAATTACATATACCCTGGAGATGACGTCATACTTTCGTCCCTTGTGGCATAATATACTATATACAGCCGACCTTCACAGCATAATTGAGGGACATGATACTTTTATAACAGACCTCGTACATCTGTTTCGAATTAGCTGTTTAACGGCGTTTCCATGCCTAGAATATAACTTTGTCCAACATCATTAGTATAGTGATGATGCTGTTAACCTCACATAACTTGATAATCATTTTCTGAATAGACGAATAGACTCATAATGTACACATATTACTTCTTTTGTACCAATCAATCATTTTTAGTTATTATGAATTCTTTTGTTTATTTTTGTCATAAATGTCATTTTGAAAAGTAAAAAAAAATAAAAACTGTTATTACAATTTATGCGCATAATTAATGGAAACTTATATATAGCTTATAATATTTCGTCAAAATTCTATGAAAATGCCGTTTTAGAGGTCATTTTATATTTGTAATTTTAAATAACAATGCCCGTGTTTTTTGTGTTAAAAACTTGACTTTTATAACTTTAATACAAAAAAACTGAACGAACCATAAAATTAAAAAAAAGTCTGTTGTATTTTTGGAACACTATCAATATATATGCAAGTATCATTACTTTTGTAAATGATGTTTTAAGTTGTGGGAACAACTTTAAAAGGGCATGCATGAATACGATTGTTATGATTTATGCTTTGCTAAAAATATTAATAACACTACATACATCTACTTGCAAAATTTCTTTTTCTCGCGACTTTAAAATTTCAAAAAATTTTCTTTTGAAAATAGCACAAATCCTGTTTTACCTAGTTTTCCCGTAGAATCAACACTTTGTGGATTAAATTATCGTAAAAATTAATAGACTGGACATATAAGTAGTAATTACAAAAAAAAATAAATTATAATCTACATTTAATAATGTATTTACAGTTACAAAATGAAAAGTGTATGGAAAGTATCCATTGAAGAAGAGTTCAAGAAAAATCCAGAATTAAGGAAAGACGATTTGCAACATTTAAGGGATTGGTATAATAAACAGCCTCACTTTCCAAAATTTATGGACGATAATGGATTAATAGTGTTTCTACACAGCAATTATTATCGCCTAGAACCTACAAAAAACACAATTGAGAATTATTTGACTTCTAGAACACACATGCCAGAATATTTCTCTAACAGAGATCCTTTGGGTTCGAAAGAATTACGAAAAATGATGAACACAATGTAAGTTTTTCTTCATTAAGCTATCAATTTTTATAGGTTATGGACTTACACAAAAAAAGCAAGAAAAGGTGGAAACTTTTTCAATTTTCAGCAATAACAAAATGGAAGCAGTGTTATTGTTTTCATAATGTTTCACGTGCGTCTTACAGTTAACTTTTATTTGTTTTTAATAATGTTTTATTTTCAAACTTTTCTCTAAATATCAACAGTTTTACTGCCATGTTGATGGTTATAATTTACAAAAACAACACGTTTTAAAAAATGAGTATAAGTTTCCCTAAGATTTTAATTAATACTAAAAATTAATTTTAGGACAAATCATTCTCTTATTAAGTATTTTTTACTTAAAATAATTAATATTGGTGATATGAACTGTGCTTTTTTCGTAAGTTATGATACTTGAAAAAATACAAATCACATTGATTTTTTTCCCAATTAAAAATTATTTCAGCGAATAACTATTGATATCTAATAAAATCTGATAATAAAACAATAAAGCCCAAATTCAAGACTGATAATAAAATTCAATAACAGTTATTATTGTAACACTGTTTCTTGACCTGCAATGCAAAGAGGCGCCGACGCAGCATTAGCAAATTTCAATCACGTTCGTCACCGTTGTCCCTCTCACCTCTTGGGTTTCTGCCCTGAAAAAGGGGGATTGGCGCGCGAGATTTCCCGTTCTACGGGAAGAACTATTAATTTACGCACAAACAAATACCTTTCACTATTTCTTTTATTAAACACTTAACACTAATACACAGTCTCCCTCTCCTCACAATACACGACACAATGCTTCACCTCGTCTTCTGGACTGCGCTGCAGCGACTCCGCCTCGTACCACGCGAGTCGTGAGCGCACGTCCACCACGTCCGCGGCTCGTCCTGGACCAGGAGAGGCTCCTGCTCGTCCTAAGCCCACACTACGATGCACACACTCACACTCCGTCCTCAATCTCATACACTACTATACTCTCTCTCTCTCTCTCTCTCTCTCTCTCTCTCTCTCTCTCTCTCTCTCTCTCTCTCTCTCTCTCTCTCTCTCTCTCTCTCTCTCTCTCTCTCTCTCTCTCTCTCTCTCTCTCTCTCTCTCTCTCTCTCTCTCTCTCTCTCTCTCTCTCTCTCTCTCTCTCTCTCTCTCTCTCTCTCTCTCTCTCTCTCTCTCTCTCTCTCTCTCTCTCTCTCTCTCTCTCTCTCTCTCTCTCTCTCTCTCTCTCTCTCTCTCTCTCTCTCTCTCTCTCTCTCTCTCTCTCTCTCTCTCTCTCTCTCTCTCTCTCTCTCTCTCTCTCTCTCTCTCTCTCTCTCTCTCTCTCTCTCTCTCTCTCTCTCTCTCTCTCTCTCTCTCTCTCTCTCTCTCTCTCTCTCTCTCTCTCTCTCTCTCTCTCTCTCTCTCTCTCTCTCTCTCTCTCTCTCTCTCTCTCTCTCTCTCTCTCTCTCTCTCTCTCNATACAGTAGCTGTTTCTTTAAAATTAAAATATAAAATGTAGTGTTTAAAAGTGACGGTTAATATGTTTGAACAGGTTGGTTTTACCTCTAGAAAAGAAAACTCCAGAAGGATATGGAATTATTTACAGTAGATTAATTGATTTTGATCCCAGTCGGTATGTATACAATGACGCTATGAGACTCTACAACATGATTAGTGAGTTGTGGTTACTACGAGAGGGAACTATGCCAGGGTATGTCATTATCTGTGATATTTACGGTGTGCAAATGGCCCACGCACTTCGTGTACCACCAATGGGCATTAAAAAATGTTTATACTATTTGCAAGAGGCAGTGCCTCTCAGAATTAAAGGCTTACATTTCTTGAATACTTCGCCGGTTATGGATTTCATTCTTGGTCTCATGAAACCTTTTATGAAAAAGGAACTTATGGACGTGGTTAGTATGTTATGTAATTGTTATTAGTACTAAGTTGGTAACATTACATGGTTGTTTCTTTTGTAATTAAGTAACGAGCAACAACTATTACGTTTTTAATATTTCTCTAAGACGTATATTTTTGTTGACAAATATTTAAAATGATTGAATTACAAATTTTTTGTTAGCTTCACCTACATTCTAACTTAGATAGTTTTGGAAAGTATATACCTCCAGACGTTTTGCCAAATGAAATAGGCGGCAGTGCTGGTCAAATGATGGATCTTTACACTAAGGTTCTCAAGGATGTTGAAGATCATAGGGATTATTTCATTGAAGAAGAGGCAGAGATGCGAGTCGATGAGTCAAAGCGACCTGGCAAGCCCAAAACTGCTACAGATTTATTTGGTGTTGAGGGTAGTTTCAAAAAGCTTGACATTGATTAGAAGCCAACATTTTATTTTGTCTCGTATCTAATTGTGTGCAGTATTTTTTGTCATAAAATTTTACTTTTATCTAATAGTTGACAAATTTTGTGATTTACAGTATTCAATAAAAAACTTAAATTCCTATTATCACTATTGGACTATTTCCATGAAATTATTGCAATAATGTACAAATAAAAAGGTAAAAAAGGGTCCCCCGGTATATGTCACATTCAGAGTGAGAAGTGGATGCGAGATAATCGGCAGGAAAATTTATGAACGAGGGCAGTAGTCAATTTTAGGAAGTTCTTTCAAGTTTCTTTAAGTATCACCATTAAAGTAATTAGGAAAAGTCGTACTTATATTTAACAGATGTGTTTTTAAATAAATGAAAAAAATTTCAATTATAAATGACTAAAAAAATGTAGTTGATTCGTTGAGTTCTTACTACTCTCATCCGAAATGAGGAATGAAAAAATATATGAACAAATTAATTCTGTTTTCTTTCTTGCCTTATCTTCCTCACCATTTTATGCTCCACATATCATGAAGACGTGATTTTCTTCGATTTATCAAATAATTTCATTGAGTACAGATAATTATTTGAGAGATTGGCTACCTTAAAAAGTAAGTAGAATATAATGTAACATACAGTTCTCTCTAGAATATAATATAACATATAGTTCTCCAATTTTCCGGTAATTACAATGATTTAAAACAATATTGAAAATTGTTTCATTGATAAGTATATTTACTTTCAGAAAAATGAGCGCATTAAGTAAAAGATGTCTGTGTTAATACACCTATATAAATCAACTACGTACGTGGTATGACATAATACATAAAATATTTGGTTGTATCCTATATTCAATGAAGTAATTATTAACACTAAAATTCATTAAATGCCATTTTTTCAAGCACGACAGTTTTGTACAGGGTTTATAATTTTATAAAATATTTAAGCGGAGAAAATTTGGATTACTTATGAAAATTATTTTATGAAAGATTTTATTTATGATAAAGAAAAACACTTTTTCCTTACACCTCTGCCGAAAGTTCGTTCCATCTGACCCGATTTTGAGCTAGAAAAAGCCTCATATCAGTCCTGCCATATGTGCGCAGAACGAAGTGCGCAAATATATATGTAGTTATATATTCATCACCAACAAGCAGCAGTAGCTATATATATATATATACTAGTGGGGCTAATGCCCCCCTGCGCGCTCCGCGCGCCAACGCCCCACTAACAGATTGAGTAGACAAATTAACGACATTACTCGTGTATTTATCAATGCAGGCTAAAAATTAGTTCACAACAGCAGAATACGTGACTCACAAAGGAGTTGATAAAACATATGATTAACTTAACATAATTAAATTAACATAAATATTAATTTTCCAATAGTATTTTAAAATAATATTAGAGAGGGTCTTCCATAACACGAATTAAAATTAAAAATAAATGCTATAGTAGTGTTAATAAGAACTTTAAGTATATCAGACGGTCTCTGTAGAGGCACAATATTAAAAATAACAAAATTTTTTAAGGTATAATATAGAAGCAGAAATAAATTATGAAGAAAAAAAAGCAAAGTTTATATTCCTAGAATAACATTGAATACTGGCACCTTATTCTCATTACCTTTTGTCTGCTATAGAAAACAGCTTCCCTTTGTATTAGCATGTTTTATATTTATTAAAAAATCAGAAAAACAGAGTTTTGATTCTTTAGGATTGTATATTAAAAAACGTTTATTCTCTTACGGACAATTATACGTTGCTTTATTAAGATGCAAGAATCCAAAAAGAATTTTTATTCAAATTGCATCCGAGAATAAATCAGAAATTAAAAATTATGTTTAGCTAGTTTATTTTCAGTCATTCAAAAATATGTAACTTTGAAGATCGTCACATTAAAACAGACGTATGTTAATTCATAAAAGCCATGAAAAACAAATATGTGAAATATGTGGGAAGGGTTTTAAAAGAACAGGTGGGTTAAAATGACACATAAAATGTCACAACATTAAGCTAACAGAATGAATTATTGTTTTAACAGTTTAATTGTGTTTGTCTATTTAATTATACCTCCTTCTGAATTCTGTCTTTTACTTAATAAAGTCCTTAAGTAATCAAGAATTTTATATTTGGGTAAAGTAGACATGGACCACAAAGAGATTTAAAATGTAGAAGTTCAATCAAGTTAAACAAATAATGGTACTTCAGAGACACATAGTGAGTAAGGGGAAGCGAATAGACAGAGGGATACCTTTGATCAGTGACTTAAAAAAACCCTAAAAACGAGGTACGACTTAGGTACTAAATTGCGTATATTTTTTAACATTTATGATGGTAAAACATTAGATAAATAAGTATTTTATTGGGGGGGAGGTGGAGGGGGAGTTGCGGNGAATTCTGTCTTTTTCTTAATAAAGTCCTCAAGTAATCAAGAATTTTAATTTAGGTAAAGTAGACATGGACCAGAAAGAGATTTAAAATGAAAAAGTTTAATCAGCATAAACAAATAATGGTACTTCAACGACACATAGTTAGGGAGAGGGAGCGAATAGACAGAGGGAGACCTATGATCAGTTACTTAAAAAACTCTAAAAACAAGGTATGACTAAGGTACTAAATTGCGAATATTTTTTAACATTTATGATAGTGAAACGTTAGATAAATAAGTATTTTATTGGGGGAGAGGTGAAGAAGAAGGTGAAAAAGGAGCAAGGAAGAGCGGTGAGAGCTTGCTCAAATATAATTTGATTAAAAATGACGTTAAAAAAAGCAAATAACTACGTAAATCGAGGGGGAGCTGAGAGGGAGATGAGGGGGAGCGGGGGAGAGCGGGGGGGACTGAGACTCACTTTCGTCAATACAACTATATAATATAGGGAGGGAGGGAAATAGACGTTAAAGACTGTTTATATAGGTTACGGACAGATTTTGTTTTCTCACAGACTGATGACCTTATTAAATTAAGGTTTTTGTAAGGTAATTCGCATGAAAGAAATATTTTTGTGCTTATCTCGATGGTTGCATGGAATATTTTAACAAAAAAATACGATTTAGAGCTGTTTTTTGAGGTTACAACCAAAATATGACCTGATACTAAAACGCATATGCTTAACTTTACTAAACCAACCAAAAAGAAACATATTTACACATTTTTTTGGCTTGCAATATGATGAGATTTCAAGATATTTGCTTATTTTAACATTTTTTGCGGTCTTCATCGACAGTCAGAGTCATGCCATCAGCCGCTATTTTTTATTTTCGGAAAGAGCCACTCGTTATCGTAAACTACAGGCTTTATGCTATAAAATAGTGATTTATTATAATTTTTTAGCTGCTTTTATTTTTTAACAGCATATTATTTAATATAACTGTTGTACAATAATCTAAAAATACAAGGTAAGTGAGTTTCTGTCATATTAGATCTTTGTACATTTTCTTAAAACAGTTCATTTGTAGGCTTCTTATGCTTNCAGCGGAGGATTTTTTCATAAGTAATTTGAATACTTAAACAAAAGCTAATATACAACAGTAAGTCTGTAATTAAATACTGCATAATAATATTAATAAAAACAACATAATTTAGAGTCTGGTTTCAGCTTTTGTCGTAAAATATTTATTCAACTGTACAGTTTGATAAGCAAGAAATTTAGAGCGATATTCAGCAAGAAATTTTTGAAGAATTAAACACAACTAATGACAGTGTAAAAAAAAAAAAATCAACTGTCTGCTGATACAGTATATATATGAAAGTATATATTGTTTTGTATCTAAATAATGATTACAAAAAACTTGCAGTCTTTTGATTTGAATAAACCCTTTACCTGTCACTACTTGGTTGAATTGAATTGATTTCTTACGTTAGAGTCGAGTAAACAAACCGAAAGAAAAGTATAAGATGTCTAAAAGTGAGGAAGTAGATCAAGTTCAAGTTAATTTTTTCGCACCATATTCTATGAACTCCCTGTATCATTTATGACAACAATGATACTCGGAGAAACTCAATACAATTAAAATAGAGAGGTTTCTCGCCCAAAAGGCTCCCCTGCCCCCAAATTCAGCCGTTATAAAAATTTATAAAACAGGTCTCATCACGAAAATTTTTGCAGGCTTTTGGGGGTTTCAAGCTTTTTTATTTATTTGTGTTGAGTTTCCCTAAGTGGCATCGTTGCAATGAATGACTCTGGCGGTTCAAGAAATTTTATACAAAAAGTGTACTCAAGGCTCTTTATTAATGACTGTATGCCAAAACAATTAGAGCGGAAAACAGACTTTTTAAATATAATGTAAGGTTAATTTACTACACAAATCCTACTTGTAAAAAAAAAAAAAAAAGTTTTCTTTTATGATGTACGATTTTATCGGCTATTAATGGCTAAAGTAAAAATAATTCAAAATAAGTCCATTCGGCTTTATTAAACAATAACAAAACTTACATATGAGATAGTATAACAACTACATGTTGAATTAAGATTTTAATTGGCGTACAGTTTTGAGGTATACATACATGCTTCAAATTTTTCGATCGTATTTTTAGTCACAATTTGTATTAAAAGGGCTGTTTTGACAATTAAACCTTTCTTCATTTGTACAGCTTAATAAGCACCATTTGCTAGTTATTTGTCAATCACAAAAAACACTATACCAATAGTGAAATAAATGTTCTAGCATAAGATGTTTACAATATTTCTTAACAAAAAAAGAAACATATTGACACATTTTTTTGGCTTGCAATATGATAAGACTTTAAGATATTTGCTTATTTTAACATTTTTTGCGGTCTTCATCGACAATCAGAGTCATGCCATCAGCCGCCATTTTTTATTTTCGGAAAGAGCCACTCGTTATCGAAAACTACAGGCTTTATGCTATAAAATAGTGATTTATTATAATTTTTTAGCTGCTTCCATTTTTGAACAGCAGGAGGGGTAAATATTAAAAAGAATGCCCCATTTATATATATATAT